AGGCCCCGCTTCCGTCCTGCAGGAACACTTGGTCTTTGTACAGCCTGGGAATACTCTTAAAAGGATTCCTGGGTAATTGTCTGTGCTAAAGTAGAAACTGGTATTGAAAGAAAATGGACTGTAATGACTGAGGAAACAGGGTAGTAGTAACATAATGGCTATTGAGAGCAAAGCAGGGTCAGCGCTACGCCGTTCTCCAAGATATTACTCGCCATGTCTAAGTGTGGTAGCCTTTGCCAAACACTGGACAGGAAGCAAAGGCTTCAGCTCTTTTAGTTTTGTGCATTACTTGATCTTGGATATAAAGAAGGATTCTTGTACTTGTATATGAGGTTAAATACAGTCAAAGCAATAAATGTGTTAACAGCAAGTGGGGTAGAAAGAAATGTTACGATGGTATTAAATTGTCCTGAAGATGTAATAACTGAATAAATAAGGATGGATGAAGGATTTTTGCCGCTAATCCACGCCGCCCCTTTCAAAATGTTCCCACATGGGAAACGTTCTAAGTGCACTCCGTTTATCCGCAACTGAGCTGAAGGACTGGCAGCGGCTAGGAATGATTAGCAGCATGGCCATCAGATCAGACCGCAGCACAAAAGACAGGGCGGGAAAACGATGGCGAAACACAGTGGGCCGCATGGGAAGAGGCTTCCACCGGTCGATGGGAACGACTACAACTGACCAAAAGTGCACTCGCACTTAAGAGGAAAGCGGCAAACACACACGATCCTGTAAGTTTAACAGACCACTGTTCCATAGCCCCGGTCCTCTCTTTCTCATTCGTATTCCTCTTTCTCTCCAAAGTCCACCCCCACTGCAGCGACCAAAGACCATGAAAAAAGTAAATATGTGCACAAGGTAAAGCTATTGGTTAACCTTTGAAAAAGCCTGGCAATGAGACCTGCTGCTCCATCTTCTTTAAAGCAGGAAATATATATATATATATATTGGAATAAGAAAAAAGAAAAAAAAAACACAATGTTGGCCGCCACTTCAGAGAGATATTCAATATCCATGAGCTTTTTCATTTTGCACTGATGAATAATTCAGGGTGACCTGCCCACAACGGAGTGAGGGAGGAAAGGGGGGGGGTGGCGGCGGGCTGGGGAGGTGTGCAGAGGTAGGTGTCTGTTTAAGTGGATGCAGCTGTTGCTGTTCAACAGGCACAAAACCGGCCTCTCTGCACCAGAGAGTAGGGGCAGCACACGGCCCGACCGGCCACAGACAGTCGGGGAAACGATATCAAAGCCCTGCCATTCTCGCAGCGCATCACCGGCACCAAATAGCCGTAGGACGGGCACACAATGTCGAATAAACATGACAACATATACTCCAGACATAGTCAAACAAACCATCCCAATTGAGCGGTTTGGAACACCAGGAAGCGCGGCGGCAGCCTCAGTCGGGTTAACCTTAAGGGCTCTGGAGGGTTCGGGACAGCTAACGACCAATCAGTGAGCCTGCAGACACGATCATTAATCACTTCGAAGTGATGTCACTGACACGACTCGTAAACAGGTACAACACAAACAACGAGGAATGTCGGCCTTAATAAATCACTCACGCCACTCATACTAATTGTGCCTCCCTCTAAAGCACAGGTCGAGGAGGACCGGCAGCAATCTTCCACTCCAGCTTCTTAAGCTCGTTAAACTTGAGCATAGTCAAAACTACTTAAGCTTTCAAATGGCAGAATAGAAAAGGATTGATTTGGTGCCGTGTGTTTGAAACACAGGTAAGAACCACAGTTGTCGGTGACTTTGATCCGCGGCAGCCTCCACACTTCATTTTTGGCCTCAACTGGCGGCTTCCTAAATGTAAATAAACCCACTCGCTTCTTCTGTATGGATATCGTTCCGACGTACAGCCTTGCATTCCTCATCTTTATGCGACCCTGCTTCTTTTTTTTTTCTTCAATAAAGCTTGAATTTACATGATTAATCTGTCAAAAAATTAAATCAGGGCTGACGTCTATCTGAAAATGGTGCAACAAAAGGAAGCGATTCAATTATTATTCACTCCGGCGTCGTGTTCTGACAGAACCGAGAGCAGCTACCTTAATTTAACGCCCACGCATGTTGATTTTCTTGCAAATAGTGCGGCAGCCTGGCTGCATATAAAGGTCCACAGTGTTTCCCCTCAGAACAAGAAGGCAGTCAATCATGCAGTACAAGCCTGGCTCCTTGGTACAATTCACAAATGAGTGCCAGCCTACAAGAGGAAGTGTCGTTCCACCGACCTGAGGAGATCGTCCGATAAGAAGGCTGCATAAAAGCGGAACCACGTACTTTTAATGAACGAGCGCTGTGGCCAGGCTGACAGATTCACAGCCCTTGCCGAGCTTCACCTCTTTTTTTTTAAAATCAGTATTAATGTCTTCATGAGATCTTTAACACATAAAACTGTTATTCTTGAAGAGGGTCCCCCCCCCCCCCTACCAATCCAGTGATATAACGCCATGTACAGTACAGTGGCTTTAGGGCCACTTCATATATTTTGAATCGAACTCTCAGTCTATCGAGAACAATCCCTTCATTAAAAAAAGCAACGTGTCCAACCAAACTCCTTTAGGACCCCTTAATCAACACGGCCATTAAACTGAATCAATTCCGTCCATCTCTATTAAAAGCCCCAGCACCACAGGCTTCTGAGGTTGCAGTGATTACAAACCACAACTTAAAAAGACCACTACTTGAGATGACATCTATAATTTGCTGCTATGTAAATGAAATCCAAGAGAATAAAAAAAGTGCGTGTCCAAGACGAACGTGTTGTAAAAAAAATCGCGACACTTCAGCGGCAGTGGTGAACATTTTCGGAAGCACCCGGGCCCGCTTTTAGACGAGGAATAACACCTCTGACCCTGCGTGGGGGCGAGATGTCACTATCACACGCAAACAGACACACACAAAACACACCACCACTCAAGCTGTCACGAGCAGGGGGAGACCAGCTGTTCCTCATTCTCTCGAAGGCCTACGTTCCCTTCGTGGGTTGGCTGGCTTTGCAGAAATCATTAATCCATCTGTGAACACGAGGGGATGGTTTGGAAAGATCAACCATGAGAAAAGCAGCGACGGAGGGGTGAGGAGTGGCAGCGGGAGAGAGTGGACGGATACGATGACACTTGTTCTGTGTTTGAGGTGAGGGAAAAAGAGGAGGGGAAAAAAAAAAGAAGCTACAACAGCAGGAAAATTGATTTTCTTGCCCATATTTCCCCCTGGACACAAACAGTACAATAGTGGAGCAGAGATGGAGCAGCAGATAGCAGATAGTCCAATGTAAGATTTAGAGGTCCTCAAAATCTGAAGAGGGATGAGGGGAAGCATGCACAGAGGCATAAGTGGAAGATCCTATAGCTTAACCACTGTTTAACAGACTGGTTTTCGCTTGAATTTTCTAAATAGTAGAAATTAGAGACTCTTATTTTATTTTTTTTAGACAATAAAAGCAGAGCTTTGATCAAATTTTTTGCAGATAGCACTATACAACTTATCCTACACCATTCACTAAAAGGATGTCAAAACTTAAATTACAAGGGATCTGACCTTAAAACTGGTCTTTTTTTTATCCTTTAACATCCCAAAAAAACAGAAAGATGAAAAAAAAAAGATTTTCTGTGCTATATTTCTCTCTATGTGGGAGACATAGGAATAAACTAATCAACACGTGCGCTTTGTAAGTATTGAAAAATTAGTTCTATTAACCTCATGTGACATTATCTGAACTGAACTTCATCTGTCTTCATTCATTAATATCAGCAGGATTACTGCGAGTGACACACAAACACATGTCCACATCAGTAGGTTGTGTAATATATACACACACACACACACACACACACACACACACACACACACACAAGCAAGTAGCCGGTGGGTATTCCCCACCCTAATACCCTGCCTATTCCTGAACGGCAGCATTAATCCGAGAAGCCTCACAATAAGAGTGCCTAGGCCACTCCAGCATCACCAGCAGAGGGGCTCCATGCCCTGTGCTGTCTTTTATTGCCTCCGTTTCTTTTTTTCTTTGGATGCTACAATTACCACACGTTGTGTTCGGGTTTCTCTGATGGTGTGACTAAAATGATGCCAATCGCTGGCCTAATATTTGCTGATGGCACCATATATACAGTAGCAGGGGGAAACCGACAGCCAGAGAAAACTTTGTGTTCTGTCCCTGCATCCTGCTTCACCGCCCAGCCAATCACACACGAGAATGTCCACTTCCTGCTGCTGAGACAGCCGTCTTCTGCGTGTGTGCACGTTAATATGAGAAAGTGTTCAGATTGACAGCGATTCTGTATCGAGTCATAAAAAGTATTTTGCTCAGCTACAAGCAACACAAGCTGCAAACAGCTGAATACGTGCATGAGAATGTTTGCTCTCAGTCAAAGCACTTTGTCCTCGTGAAGTCCCAACCTGCATTAGGAGGCAGCCGCTCACAGGAGTTGGCGTGCTGAGCATCAAAGTTTTATGCCGGGCTGACACCGGGGGTGTGGAAAACAGGTGTGAGCGCACACTAAACATCCCTGTCCGACACCTGAGCGACGCGTTCCCGCCAAGGACGGCAGAGAGCACATTAGGCATGCGTCCCCGTGAATGTCCTTCCAAACACAGGCGGGGAAATTAAAATCTCATCGGGGCTCCCGTGGGATGCGCTGATAGGTTACCTAACTGTCAGCTGCAGCAGCACGCCGCCCCCCCAAACAAAGCGGTCAGCCATGTTTTGACTAACCAACAAGGCAGCGGCGGACACATCCCAGGCTCACTGCCACCAGGACCCCAGATGCAAAGGAAGGGACGCGTCCCACATGGGCGCAGAGGACTGCGGCCTGTGAGCGACGGGTCCGGCGCATGCGCGCAGGACCGGCGGAAGCCTAATTCTCCAACCCAGAAAAGCACAGCTGAAGTTGTTGGGGCGGATTATCTCTAACAGGGAAACCACGTGCTAGCGTCCACCTTGGCTTAATCTCCTTAGCACGCAAACAATACAGGCTACACGCCAATGGCGTCCCTACGAAGCCGGGGAGAAGGGGAGGGGGGTGGGGGTGGGGGGGGCTACTCTGGCTCACGTGACACTGAAGCGAGGGTTTACCCACCTGTGCTGCTCTGCGGGATGCCACTGACGGACATCTCCATGGCCAATCTGGGTGCTGCAAGGCGCTCTCCCTACTTTAGGCGGAAGGGAACTGTAGCAATTAAGCTCGACTCAACCGTTTAAAGCCATTATTAGCACTACTTATGGCTTTAGCCAACCAACACAGGGGCCAGTGGAGAGGAGTGCACAGGGACGGGCCCTCCCACCTGCAGCTCTCGGATAAATGTTTCTAGGTGCCATCAACTTCTCTTTTCTTCATATCTTCTTTTCAAGGTTTCAAAGTATGATTGGGAGTGCATTTAAATTAGAACAAAAATGCAGGTGCAACCTCGGCGTTGTGGAAATGTACGCGCACTCTGACGTAAAATGATTTTTTAAAAAGAAACATACAAACATCCAATTTGCTCACTGGACACAAAAGGAATGGTGCGTCAACATTTCACCCGTATGCATGATTGAACATGCAAAAGCCCAAGCGTGATAAAAGAACCTCTTCAGTGGTGTACTCGAGCCTTTGCACAAAAATGAGGGGCCATTTTCGAGATGTCTTTTCTGCTAAGAAAAGAGGGAGGAGGGCGAGTAAACAAAGTCTTTCCATAAAAGTGTCCAGCAACATCTTATTATTTTCACTCAATTTTCTCCTGTTCTTAGCAGCAAAAAAAAGGGGTAGATGCACAAAATGCACAACACCACATGCACTTCTTTCCCTTTGCTAAAGTGTGAAGATTATCCATCTCTGATTAGCTCCCAAGCCTCGGTTGCCTAGCAACACACAATTAAGAAATATGCTTTCCGATCGGTAGTTAAGGCTGCCCATTATCAGATGAAGTTACTGAAGCAACAAATGTCAGCCACATGCAAATGACTTTGTTGTGTTGAGAGTGAGGGGGAGGGGGGGGGGGGGCGCCCCCCCCCCCCCGACCTTGGAAAAAAGCGGATATTACCACAACGTTAAAAAGGGGACCTCTCGCCCCCTCCTCCCCCACAACTCCCTCTCCTTCTTCTGGATCTTGCGTTCTTGCTTCTTATTGCCTTGACAACACATGAAGGGAGGGTCCTTCATAAAAGTCATTACTCTACAACAAGTTCAGCGGCCCAAAGACCCATTAGAGAGGCAGGCGAGATATGGGGTGAGACATGGCTGAGAACAAGGTTAAAAAATGGAATTCTTCCCCACGCTAATCAGCTCTGATCAGCAGAGAAATACATCATCTTGTTAGTGCTGGAAAGCAAAGCATTTGCATATGAAAATGAGCTGAGAGGATGGCTGTATCTCAGTTAACTGGAAGTAAAAAGCTGCCTTGTATCAACTTTGATATAAATAAAGACATCCCACTGAATTCTATGTAGTTATGTGATTATATTCACGAGAGCAAAGTGAAAGAAGTGAGAATTGTAGAGTACGAATAGAAAAATAAGATTGGCATCTCTCTACGAAGGCACACTGACATGAGTATTCAAAACGATACATAACTATAACAGTGATTTGCCAGTTTTCTGGCAATAATGTTAAAGCACCATATAGTGCTTTTGGAAAATTACAGCAAGTAAGCAGTACGAATCAAAGATAATAAACAGTTGTTAGAAAGTCAGCTTTGAATGTATCCATTATCATTATGGCCAAAAAAAGGCAATTAAATAATAATCTTTTAATAGCACTGCACTAAAACTAGAATTTAAAATCTAAAAAAACAGTTACCTTTTATAGTGAACACAAACATCCATCCAATTAGTGTAATTGGATTTGAGGCAGTTAAGCCCCCGATTAGGAGAGAGTACAGTGTAAAATAGAATGACAGCAACCCCTTTTACTTACTAAAACCAAGATGCGTTATTGGCATCTAACTCACTTTGAGAAGTAAAAAGAAGCCCAACGGTTGATTTAAAGAGAAGCTGGTAAATATTGACCTGGGTGCTAAGTGTGTTTTGTGTGCACATAAAGTCAAAATTTCACTGCGGCCCCTTTAACCCTCAAAGTAAGAAAGCCGGCAATGTAAACAACTCCAAAAGCACAGTGAGAAAAGATCATTCTGACCACCCACTTAATTTAAAGAGAACAACAAAAAAGTGTTGACCTCAATAGGAGTGCTGCTCATATGAAATGCTTCAACTCACTGATGAGACAAGATCCCCTCTGGCAAATGACACAACTCTGTTGCAATATATGTATAAATAGTTACACAAATTTAAAAAAAGACATCTCAGAGCAAAGCTGCTTAACTTGTCAGATTCATCTTACATGCCTCCCCTTCACTCAAAACAATGCCGCTGCGATTCCGCTGTAGTTCGCCAATATTCTACTGCGTGCAGTGCTAAATTTCACCATGCAGGCAATGAGAAAATCAGAGGAGAGAAAGTATGACCAGAAGTAAGAAGAAAAAAAAGATGGATCTATAACAAACACAAAGGACAAAAGAAAGAAGGCGTGAAGAAATTCTTTGGAAAGGTTTGACATTACTTGAATCAGGCGTGGTGGCCATGGTTGAGACTATAACAGGTGGACCAGTGCGTCGTCCAACCAGCTTGTTATTTGGGTTTTGCGCCTGCAGATTGTTGGAAGACGTGACGGGAGCGATGCCGCTCTCGGGAGCAGCATTGATTCCTTTCCGGAGGAGTTGTGGGCTGTGGAGAGGGCTTGCTGCTAGCACAGGCGATGCTGGGGGAAGATTAGGGGCTCTCTTCATCAGCTCCATTGGGGAGAAGGAGCCGGAGAAGGTTTTTGGAGCTGCCCCGGGGGTGCCTGGGGCCGGTGGAGGCTGCTGTCCCAGAGCAGACATGGCGAGGCCGGTGTGGGCATTATACATGGAGAGGGGTCTTCCCTGTGTCGGTACATTGTTATATCCTCCGGGGCTGACTGGAAAAGCTCCAGTCGCCAGTGGACGTGCTCCTGGGTAGGTGGTGGTCTCCAGCAGGTGTTGGGAGGGTGCACTGCTGGGTCTTCGTCCGAGAAACTCTCCCATCCTTGGGGACACGGTCTGGATGGTGGTGGCAGGCTGCTGCATCAGGGAGGGATCCATGGTTAAACCCTGCGGCTGCATGTAGAGGTCATTCCGATGGCTGAAGCTGTTGGACCGGGTACGCGTTCCCGCTCCGCCTGCCTTGCATCCGATCACTACCCGGCAAAGAACGCGGGCCTGGGCCAAGTTTGGGGCCACGGACCGAATGTCGTGGTCCTCCATCATCCCCAGCGTGGCGGTGGAATCAAAGCCATGTTGAAGCAAAAGGGTAATCGTGCTCTCAGCCAAGCCCTCGGAACGCAGGTAGGCAAGGAAAGAAGGGTCCACCATCCTCTTCGGGTCCGCAGCGCTGGGATGGACGGGAGGCAGGTTGGGGTTCATTCCAGCTGTGGCAGCCATCATGGCGGAGGTAGGATCGTAGTTGGGGTCATAAGGCAGCCTTTGAGAGGCTACGGCGCCATAAGCTCGGGGCAGAGCTCCGTCCATTCCCTGAGAAGCCGGGTCCACCGCTGAACTGGTGGCAGCTGGCTGGCGGGGTTCCAGGGACAAGCTGTTGATGCTGTTGTAAGCGTGACGTGCGGAGAGAGATGGTGGCTCGGCAGCGTAAATCGGTAGAGGGGGCTGAACCCCGTAGACGGCAGGAACGGAAGAGCTGCCACCAATGCGCTGGACGTCTGGGATCATCTTAGATCCCAGAGCTTCCCTGTACAAACGGCTCAGCTCGTGCAGGGGAGGGGGAGGAGGGGGTGGAGGAGGCGGGGGAGGAGGAGGAGGGGGGGGGAGGAGAGGAGGAGCAGGTGTAGCCGCAGAAACAGAGGCCAGTGCAGAAGGTGTGGCCCTTGAGTGTCCTTGATCCCACGCAGGCCTCACCCCCCCCGTGCTAGGCCCATAATGCGAGGCTGATCTGGTGAGCAAACGCTGGTTATCCCTGTAAAACCCGGACTCTTCCGGTGGCTGCCCGGATAAGGTAGCATCAGCCAGGTAGTAATCCTGAGTTTCTGCCGAGGCCCGGCCTGCCATGAGTCGCTTGAGGTAGAAGTTAGTGTTCAGATCGGGTGCAGAGTTCTTCCTCAGTACCTGCTGGCCATGCTGGACCGGCCGGTATAAGCAGGACTGGAGCGCCGGGTCCGGTTTCTCGCACAGATCTGTATTATGGTGAAACCATACTCCACGATCTCCGCCACCGGGCGGCACAGAATTCCTGCGCCCCGAAACGGTACCGCAGTAGAGACAGCGACTTGCAGCCCCCTCGCTCTGGCCCTCACTCCACTCAGGACCTGGCCGGCTCTGAGAGCCATCAAAATGCGACTGCTCACTGGAGTTAGGCATCGGTGAAGATAACCAAGCGGATAGCTATAAAAGCGGAAAATAGAGCCGAGTATTGCCTTTCAAATCTCCGGTTACACTCATCCCCAATCAAAAGGGAGAGGAGAGGGCAGGTGAAGCTTGAGGTACCCTTTTACCTGTTCTGCAGCTGTAGGCCCCCCTTCCTTCGCTCTAAAGCCTGTGCTATCATGTAGCTCCCTGCTGGCAGCACTATCTAAATAATTCAGCCCTGGAAACATTAGAAATTCGCGAGCAGTGACACACACAACATGATGAACACAAAGAAACATTCCACACACATGCAGACAGAAAAAGCAACACACCTTTAGAGCAAGGCTCTGCTCCACTCAGCAGGGACCATACTCGTGCCGGGCATCGCGCTTACATTCCAAACTAAGACTCATGACAAGAAAATTGGGGGTAAAAACACATGCTGGACAAAGACAACAGACTGGAGGAGGGGACGAGACACACTAATCCAATGGGGGTTGAGGCAAGCCATTGACAGGGACAGTCCTCTCGTCCACCGCCTTTGCCACGAGGGGATTAGCGTCAAACTAAAACCCAGCTTAAATCCACTGCCCCTGTGACATCACTTGGACTAGATCGTATACATAGCCGGCACACTCTCGAGGACCCCGGACATGTTTATGAAGCGTAAAGCTGGAGTGTTTATAGTGCTTACTGCTCACCTCACTGCTGCCTTGCAGCTGATATCCCTGTGGGTCTAAATGGATCTTCCCTCTTGAGATAGACGAGGTTGGGGGCTGAAATTTTCCCCCGAGAGAGAGGGAGGAGATGACTACAAAGTCCATTCTCACAACCAGCTCAGACGTTCACACCTAATCTGGTGATCTGCTACAAGAACAACAGGACGTGCTCCACTGGCTCCATTAAGAACACATAGCCTCCTCTACTGGACAACTATCCACATGTGAAATACCCGACACAGGAAAATTCATCCAAGAATGTAGAGGCGGAGTTGCATGCGATAATCAATCAAATACAGTCTTACATGTTTTATGAAAAACACTGCATAAGTGATTCTGAATTTTCTAGTACGGCCCGGTTTTAAAGTCTCTCGATACAGCCCAAAGCCCATAGACACAAGATTGAAATTATTACATAAGAATTTGTAATTCCCTGTCAATCAGCCATTCAGTCAACAGTGAAAGTAATTATTTAAATCAGCATGACTCAAAAGTTGCTTTCAACACAAAGAAAGTGACATATTAAGCCTACTTACAGGCTTCTGGGGAAAAAGAAAATGATGCATAACCTCAAATCAGTATGATTTGCACCATTACATGAATCAGCTTGAATACTGCCGCCATGCACTGTGCACAATATGCTCAATGAAGCAAATTAGGTTTAACCAAGACTTCACCACCAAAACTGCTTGTGTTGTACCTGCCGTTACAAGAGCAATGGGAAAAAGTGTTGGGAGGAGAAGGACACTTTGATAAGACTTCGATAGGGCTGTCGGTACTGACTTCCCCTCTATAGAGAAAGACAGGAGATGAAAAAAGAGGAAGTGCTAACTGGACTGTGACAACGGGATGGCCACATGCCTGTTTCTCCTCTGTGCTTTGACTGTGTTAACAAGACGTAGGTTTACCAGAGTTTTTTTTCCTTTCTTTTTTTTTGTTTCAGTTGGTATTTTGGCTGCATGTCTGCGGTGACATCATCTCGGTGCTGCCACCGTTAAGCTGCTGAGACAGTGTGACTGAGATAGGCTAAATTTATTACCGCTTAGGACCGACATGAGGCTGCTACTGTCTTTCTGTATGATTCCTCACCGTGTCAAGTCACTGAGGGAAATGCTATATCCAGCTCACTTTCATCTCAGAGTTCAGTGGTAGGTGAGGCCATATATAATTTTTTTTTTAAAGCTTGGGTTATTAACGGGACATCAGAATTAGAGAACATTAAGTTTGCCAAACAAAGAGAAACAGAACACTTTTTCCCAGATGAATCGCATGTGAAGGGTGTAATTTCTTTTTTTTTTCTTTTTTATTTCCAGCGGAATTTGCTTCTTATTTTCTTGTTTGCAGTAACACCTCAGTGTTCTCAGAGGTCTGAATCCCTGTGTGCTTTTTGTCAACTGTAAAACATGCCATTAGTCACTGTGTTGCACCTCTCTGTGGCGACCACAGACAACAACTCCCTTTAATAAGCGCTTCCCAGAGCAGTGTGTCACTTCCATCCTCGCTTCCTGACAAAACATTAATAACAACAATAAACCTCGAACACAGCCAGGCTATCGTTGCGAAAAAAACTGAAACATTGATATTGCATATCACATCACCCATCATGCAAATTACAGTATTTCCCGCAAAATTTCATGAGCAGAAGGAGGCTTTTGTCTTCGGCATTCTCTGACATGACTTTCCTCAGGGCTGCTCCATAATTAAGCGAGCGTGCCGTTCAACACTCATCAAGTAACGGGGACTTTGGATTCGCTATTATGAATAACACGATAAAGGGAGGAAACAATCTGAGCCGACACCCTGGATATTGATACCGACACCGGGCACGCTCCCGGCCCAAAAACCCTCCCGCTGCTCTGCGTAAGACCTCCAGGTACAATGTGCTGAACAGACGTCCGGCAACAGTCATGCCTTTGGAGCAATCTGGCCATCTTTCTAGGCCACGGGACGCTAACGGCGGGACTTGGCAGGCGGCGCGGGCAGAGATAGCTGCAGAATGATTTAGATAGAGGCCACTCTACAACTGCTGAGCCATTCAATTTTCATGGGGGCTTCATGAATTAAAACCGGGCAAAAAAAACGTGAAAATTCTACTCGACCGCTTTGATTGTACAGTACGTTTAAGTTTTAACGAGCCTCCGGGCCCCCTCGTCGCTGTGAAACGAGCAAAGAGAGGAAGGAGGGCTGACAAAGAAAGAAAAACACATGGTACCAATTCTGGTCCGATGGCCTTCGGACGGTTTACATCTGTTGTGTTACCGAGTCTTTCCTCCTCCGCCCTCTTGCCACCCCACTTTTCGGCGGCGTACTACACAACATGTCACACATTCGCATCGCTGGGGGGTGGGGGGATGAGGGGGAGAATGGGGAGGAGCCAGGGCTGCCGCGGGGCACGGCCTCCTCTCGTAGACCTAAAGAAGTGAGGACATGGAGTTTCGTCTTCCGTTCTAACGGTCCATCTTTGCCTCGTGTGCGGCCCCGCACTCTGCCTGCCTGCCTGCCATTACCAAGCCAGTGGCCCATACTGCATCACAGATGGGACAGACAGAAGGGAGAGACGACAGCCCGCTTGCTTTTTGGAGAGATGAGGGGTGTGCAGCTGAGTGAGAGAAGAGGGAGGGAAGAAAGAACATGAGGGAGAGCAGAAAGGACGGAGCAGAAAATGCTATTTGCCTCCACCTCACTGATGAAATGGAGTTTAAAGTTCAGCTCCAAAGTGGCTATAAGTAGATAGCGAGGGCTAACTGTTGCACGGTGAAGTCTATGAAACATTTTGTATGGCATTTATGAACATTTCCTGCAGCCTCCCGCTTTATAAAAGGTCAGCGTGTCCTTTGGCACCTACTGCTTCATAAAAGATTTATTTCATACAACAATCTAAGCACAGATGAATGAGTTTTCCTAACGCCGCTTTATTTCAGGCAGCTGTGCAGCGTCCTAATTAAACACCTACATAACAAATTTTCCAAATTAGGCAACCGTCTGATTGTCTTTACAAAAAGATGTCAAAATGAAAAGCGAGATTAAGATTTGATGTTACCACTCTTTCCATTATTCTTTTTCCTATGCCACAGATGCTCTGAAGCCTGAACACATTAGTCTATACTTTGCTGCAACTTGAAAATAAATGAAATCTTTCGTTCGAATTCTATTTAGGGACGAAAGGCCAGAATTTGTGGTGCCAAGCTCAGAGCCAGACAGATTGCAGTGTTCAAATGACTCCTGTTTAGATGAGACATTTACCTTCTGAGTCACTTAAATAAATCACTGTCATCAATCCAACGATCCTTACCTATAGATTTATTTGGAAGAGAGTCTGTCTATCCCTGTAGTCTGAGGGGAAGTCGCAATACCCTCATGACATTTTCGGTTTGTTAAGTAGTGACTGAGCTTTTTGGTGAAAATCTTTGTTTAAAGTTTGACTAAATCGGCAAGTGGCAGAATCCAAATTCCCCGTGTCAGATGAAGAATGCCTCTGCTCACAGCCTCTGTTACACTTGAAGCAGCATGGCACACATTAACCATTTAGCACGTTAAATTTCCACCAGGCCAGTTTTATACAGGAGCTCAATAAATAAAGAAGAACTGCATTAAAAACCTAACTAGCATCGATCGACCGAAATGGCTACAAAACAGAAGTAGATTTACACTTCCAGTCATCCTATCAAAACCTATAGTATATCCTCAGAATGAAATACTTCTTTTTTTCTTTTTTTTGGGTGGGGTTTCCTTGGTCTGGCTGATTGCAGCATATTCTGTGGATGTGTGGCTACTCTGGAATTACGAATATTCTTTCTCTGCAATAATGATCGGGAGGCTGAACATTATCAGTATTATTCACATCAGCTGTCTTAAATGTCAGGTTTTGCAACTGATCAATTAATCCCCGACAACTAGAGCGTGCATTTACCAAAGTACTGCTCTTCTGTTTAGCAACCAGACCACAAATAAATCACTTTACTTATTACAGCAAGATAAAGTGTCATCACGCTGCACAGCATGACTAAATGCAGATGTTGATTAAAACAGCATCCGTCTAGATTAGACAGCTCTAATCTAACCCAGAGGGTAGAGAGAATCGCAGTCTACAAGCAAAACAACACTCCAAAAGAAGAGAACATGGATTCAAAAGAAGAGCCGTCCTCCCTTCCAGCCACTCGGCCCCCGTGCTGCAGAATGATAAACATTGGCTCTGCTCAAATTACGCTGGGAACTAGAAAGGACCTGAGGCTGAGAGGGGCAGAGGCCACGGCAGATCACTCATCATCTCTTCAGATGGCAGAAATTCATCTA